TTGGTTGCATCATCATAATCGCAACCTGTCAGATTTTTGCTTAGGTTACCTGCTAGTACTTGCGTACGTGCCCTAGAGTTGACAACTACTCTTCACTAAGACCGCGAATCCATCAAGCTCACCGCTTGAACCGGGTGCAAATCAAGAGTCACGCTCTATTTAGTGTCCGACAGTTCCTAATAGCAATTGTTGCGTAGTTTAACGTATTATTACTGGTGGTAAAGTCGTTTAGTTTTTGAGTTGAGCTAGGCCTTAGTCGGTAAAGGCAAAATATGTGGCATTAGTGATTGCTTGTCACACAACTTCACATTATTTTATGGGGGCCCACTAGGTCTATATTGTAAGCCATTTTGTGTGATCCACTGTAAAGGATCATTTGAGGGAATATGGTCTTTTAAAGAAGACATCATGAATGAAATGCTTCTGTTGTATGTACATTTAAGTACCACTGTGAAAAAGGTGCACTATCGAGTCAATAACCGTTCCAGATTCTTATATCATATATCACTCTACTTTATTTCTAATCAATTTAACGATATCCAAGCAAGGTGTGAGGTTTTCTCTACTTGGAAGCCAATATCTAGGTTCTTATGGTCGATTTTTATTTCCGTAAGTGAGAGTAAGTAGACAGGAAATAGCAGAACAATTTATTCTGCTTATCTTTTTCATCACCTGGGTTAACACGAAGTAATTTTTTGCCGCCGACGCACTTTTATTGTGTATCTAACTGCCGAGTTGGTGTTTGCCACTTTTTCGATCAATTCGAATCTGTAACTTACGCAAGTCTTGCAGGCTTGGTGTTATCTCGGTTGATGCCCTGTACTCTAAATTACAGTTGCGGAGGTCCAGCAGATCGCGAAACAGACACGTTAGACACGTTCGTCGATTCCTCCTGGTATTACCTGCGTTTCCTCGACCCCAGCAACTCAGATGAAATTTGCTCACGAGCCTGTGCGTGCAATCATTTGCCCGTGGATATTTACGTTGGTGGTATCGAACATGGTGCGTCTTCGTTAGCAGCTAATTAAGTGTCATACAACGAATGATTTCGGTTTGCTTATCTCCCGTTTTACCTTTCAATGACACAGATGTACTCTTTTGTTGTTGTTGTTGTCTTTTGGTGTGACAGCAATTCGGCATCTCTTCTACGCACGCTTCATTGCTCACTTCCTGCACTCCGAGATGGGCCTGCTTCCGCGTCGAGAGCCCTTCAGCCGCTTCCTCCCCGTCGGTCTGGTGCTCGGCCAGACCTTCAGGAGTCCAACCACGGGACAATTTTTCCCGTTCTGCGAAGTCGAAAAGGACAGTAGCGGTGCGTTTTGATCAAGTTTTCAATGCAATAGTAGGTTTGCCCAATCCAGATGCAGGGAAGCAATGACAAAAAGTGTGTAAGGTGTCCCACATTTGGAACCGCAGCCAAGAGGTGACCGATTTCTGCAACCACCAGTTTGCCGAATTAATTTTCCACACTTTTTGACGTATGTGTGCATGTATGTTTTAAAATGTGACGAGTAGTTATTTTGGACTGTTAGCAATAACTGTTCGGAAATTCGAGGTTAAAATATTTGTTTTTTTTTCACGGAGTCATCGACAAGTAAATTTCTGTTGTACGAGACGTTCTTTTCGTCTCATAAGTTCTGTATGGCCCACCATCGACAGTAAATATCTCTGTTATTAGAACCATCATAAACTCATTTTGCCATAGTGCTTTATTTTGACCCAGTGAACCTATGTCTATCTTGGGTAAAGTTAACTCTAAAGTACTTCCATGTCCCGATTTTGACAAATATCGTGACCTTGACAGTGTATTAATTTTATACAAAGAAAACGCTCAGTGCCTATACTTAGTCCTCCATTTAGTGTTGACACGTTTAACAGTAAACCCACTCTAGTGTAAAGTAAACATTTGCTATGATGTCGTGACACAGACACCACGGGGGGCACGCAATGTCGGTCGAAGTGGAGCTGTCGGCGCCTCATCGTCATCATCACACGCGCCTTGACCTGAAATGCATGCTGAAGGTATTCTTTCTAAAAGCAACTGCTAAAGCAAGTAAACCAATGAGTAGGGCTTTCCATATAGTCAGTGTGGTTAAAGTAAAATGTAGAGAAAACGCATTAACACAGTTCCTAGTTGGACAAGGTATCCCGAAAAAAAAATTGAACGATCAATCCGATAAATTTTGAAATATGTTTTCGGAAGGCATGATTACTTTGGTTACAGTATTAGTCTCCTATTCAAATTCGGTTTTGCACTGCGGTTGCTGGCACTATCAATGAAGCAACCTGACGGAGCACAAGCGGGTGTTTTCCGATGACTCCAACAACCACGCTTCTTCTTTCGCCACAACTCCATCTTCTGTCGAAGTTAAGTGTTGTCACACCTACTCAAACAAGATGGGCTGTCGTATATTCATTCCATCCACAAAATCACTTTCAACGCTTTTCGATGCAAGCCCAAACAGTGGGCTGATTTTTATCAGGTTGGAGCGTCGAATAATCTCAACTTTAGCTGTTACTTGGATCGAGGCGCCCATTTGAGATAGAAAACCACTGTTTTGTTGTATACACAAATGACGGTAGTCCATACGCGATGCATCGAATAGAAGTTGAATAATCAATTGAGGGTTACCAACACCCATGAATCCCTTCAGGAGCATATCGTGTGTTGGCGTTGATCGACATCACTTCAAATTTGTATACCCAGCGGGTTTCGTATGCTCGCAACACACGTAGCTGAAGCAAGCTGCCTTGTGGTTTCTTGCGGTTTTGTTTTAATTCCTCCTTCTTTGTCGGTCAGTAGGGCACAGAATTTGTTCGTGAAAGGTGGCCATCCGTTTGTTTGGTCGCTTAAACCCCAACATATCAGGTTTTGTTGGTCTTTAACAGTTCGAGCGTCCTTGTTGTGTCCGTTCGCTTGGCTGGACTGTATGACTGCCCACATTGAGTATTTTCCTAAGTTTTAAGTAAGGCCGACAATGTAGATTTTGAAATTTTCGTGGTTTAAAGTTTTGTAGGGCTAAATTAGACAACCGGCAGTCTCATGTGTGATGTTCACGATATGTTCAGCTTGTGACGAGATTTAGTGAGCAGCTAAATCCCGATTATTTCCCTGGTGCTTTATTAAATTGATCCAAAGAAGGAGTACTCTGATACGACAACGGGCATGGCTTAACCGACTCGTCTATTTCCCAAAAGTAGTTAAGTGAAATAAGGGCTTTCTGTGAAACGAGGATATTTAGTTTCAAACGCTTCACTGGGTCATTTTTTAACCTCTTAAATCTTTTTGGCTGCATGAAACAGATGTCAGAAAATTTTAATGAAATATTATGGTTATTGCCTACTGCTGGTTTATTTGTTTGACTATTTTTTTAAAATCACTTTTTTTATCTTCGATTATGTTTATTTTTTGCGTCCAAAGAGCATTCTCTCGCCTGGTCGTCAACTTAAGAAATAGCTCTGAATTATTGTTCCATTACTGAGAACATTGAAGGCTAAGGAATACGCAGGGCATAATATCTGGCATTTAAAAACGCAAAGCCTGTATAACAGTGCTTGTGAAATATGTAAGTGGTGGTATTCACGCAGGAGTCAGGTATCTCCTTTTTCAGAATACTGCAGCATCATTTGGAAAATCACTGACCTCTAATCTCGGTTTCGTCTTTCTCTGAGCTTGTTCGAAATGTGTTGTGTCAGAGTGGCATATCACCTGGAGCCTTGGAATTGTTTTTGTCGTGAAGTTTCTTATAGTTTTTTCGACATCTGCTAGCTCTTTCGCTATGATAATATACTTGGAGAAGGAAAATCTGTTGAGGTTTTCTCCTAGCGACAGTGGACTATCCCATTTTTTGGTGCAGTCAAGTTTTGTCCTGCTGCCAAAAAGTGGGTTTACTTTGTAAACGCCTCGACCCAGTTGTTAGGTCTCAACCATAATCATCAGTAAGCACTTTTTGCCTTGCCTGCTATGTTCTCTGTTTTCTGTGCGCCTGGCGTACTTGTTAGCGTTACATGTTAACCTGATTCGTAAAATTGACTTAAATAAATGAACCTATTTCGCCATTAACTCGGCTTCTGGCTTCGTTCAAAGAACTCCACTTCTGCACCTGCCAGCATCATGAGAAAGTGTTTGGGCGCTTTGATGGGGTGCGCGGTGGCAAACCGTCCGGCTCTTTAGGTTCCCCTTCTCAGAGTGAAATCCTCCTTACCACAAAAGGCCACTAGTTGCATTAATTGCTCACATGAGTAGTCCTGAGTTCCGCTTGTCGATTTCGTGGCATCCTTGAAATTTGTGGCCGTTGATGCTCTGTTTTACAATGTAGAGTCCAATGTCCTGCGATTTGATAATGCACTCTCCCATCGACGAGCACTTGACCACGCAACCTAGAGAACCGTCCAGGATCTCTGTGTTTAATCTAACTACTCGGCCAGTTCTGGGCAAAAGTTATTTTGACATAATTGTGTTGATTATTGTTGTGTTTATGCGCACCAAGTGTTTGTCTTCTCTTCGTGTCTTATTTTTTACGCGACGTCTGATTCATTTGGACAATGTCGATACGTGTCAATTTATTGCTCTTTTTCCACAAATTAGTAACACGTTTAAGTTAAACATTTCCCCAATCACGAGGCACTTAATATGTATGTACATCCATCCTTATATTGGACTCATCTTACGTGTAAAGCAGTGTTTATGGCACGTTGAAGAGCGCAGATGGATCGTTACACTTGATAAGAGGTGGAAAGTGCTCCAGCAAAAATTCCTTTCCAAGTTGTCGTGTGAGATGGGGATTCAGTCTTCACTTAGTTTTGCAACAATCTCTTTCGGGCATTATTTGTTTAGCTTACCAAAAACTCTGTACCTCCCCCCCCCTCCCTCATCAGCTGCGCATCTCAACTTGAATAAAGCTAAATCACCATACCGAGAAGCAAAGATTTGCCATCAATTAGTTAAGTAGTATATTAGAATATTCAGATGTTTAGAAGACCACCGCAGACATTGGGTGCCAACGGTTAAGGATTTTTTTGGTTAGGTTACCGATCAAAATCGACCATTGGATCGTCTTTAAGCTAACTCTTTGTGAAGCCAGGCTTAAGTAAAGCTAATGCTTATTTCTGTCGTGATCTAAAGCTTTTGCTGAGTCTTAAGTTGACCTATGAAAAGTTGGTTCGTGTAAATAAGTGTTAGGAACACAACATTCTCGATTGAGTGTCGATAAAGCACCATTAACTTTGGAAGTAGCCCAAATGGTCGTTTAATGGCTTTAACGTTCACACCTCTGAACTGTCTTTTCGCTGGAATATCGCTTATTAACAAACCACCCCAACAGTAGTCCCGCGTTTAATTCTCGTCCTAGACATTGTGCACGCAGAGCCACAGGTGTAAGTCAGTGTGCTGCGAATAACTTGCCCTTTGTAATCGCCTGCACAACAGCATTAGTATCACGTTCGAATGTAATTTGATAAATCACACTTCATAGCCTGACTCTATAGTACGGCCAAACTTAATTTTTTAAATACTAAGGTAAATTCTAAGCTCAAAGAAATTTTCCAACATACGTGATTCCTCCTCCGGTTTTAGTCAGGGAAGTTCGAGTGTGCTCAATTGCCAATCAACTGATATTTTAATAGTGTATTTTGCAAAAAGGATAATTAGGAATTCAGTATTTTTCCGCATAGGTTTTGGGTAAATTCATTTTGTGTTCTGATAGTGGAATGTTTTGTCCCTGTGGCGCCCATTTGCTTGCCCGATCCACGACCAAGCCACCCGTAGGTCGGAAACAACCGTCGAAACTGGTGTCCGCGTGTCGAAATTGTTATTTGACTTGACGCCAATTTTCCAAACGCCATCTTGATGGTTTTCGCGTTTGATTGTCAGCCACGCGTGATATTTACCGCCACGAGCTTTCTGGAGTCGGACTTCCCTGTATGCAACCAGTTAGCTACCAGTTAAGACTTGCAGTGTGTGATTTGACAATCACATACACACACCCCTGAGTAAGGCTAATGTTTTATCGAATGTGGTTTGTTTCGAAACACCTATTTGGCGGGAGACGTGAGCTAGCCGCAAACTTCAAAAAGCCACGCGCGCAGAAATGATGCTATCTAACTTGGTATATGAGATATCATCAGTTCTGCCCTCATATATAACTACCCATTTATATACTCCTCCTGTCAGTTATTACATATGAGAGACGCGCTAGTTGGATACACTGTGGTTCGATTCTTTTACGTTGGGCTTCGAACAGTCATGAGAGTGGCAACTAATGAATCGCGCTATTGTTTAGGTTCAGTGCCTTAATACCCCATCCACTCGCAGTTTCATAATCATCTTGTGAAACTGAGGTGATGTGCACAATGAACTAGTCTTGGTGCATCTCATCAACACTAATGGAAACTGACCCCATTCATTTTAACAGTAATGCATGACTTTACCCAGCTAGAAGCTTGAAAAAGTAGGCTCTGAGATTCTGTTGAGTCTACCCATGCTTGTCTGATCATCTGCCAACGGTTAATCACGTAATCCGATGAGTAGAATACGATGTGGTGGGGCTTTCTGCATTATGTAAGTGGTGGAAACGTCACCTAGCCACTTGTTGTCTCTTTCGGAGACCACATACCCGCACAAATGGGCATAAGCAAATCACACTAACTGCAAATAAGCCTAAATGATTTTGGCTTCTCAAGTTACATAATTTGCTGGCTGTTTAAGCAGTCACCGTCTTTGCCACATTCAAGGCTCGTTGACTCTCGAGGTTTGCGCTGTCAGCCATGATTATTGAAACGTCTTTTCTTTTTCTACGTGCTCTACTTTAATGCCCTAGTCACAATCATCTTAGCCCATTAATCCCGTTTCTACAACACCGATGCTATTCACAAAGCTGTTTCCGTTACAACCCAGGCACCATTCGTGCAAAAGCGACGGGCGAGGTTCTCGTTGAGACTTGGGAGAAAATGAGCAAGTCGAAACTGAACGGGGTCGATCCCGCCGACGTGGTGGCTCGCCATGGGCTCGAGGTGACGCGTGTCACGATGCTCTCCAACTTCGGACCCCACGCCGCTAGGCGCTGGAGTGAGGGCGAAAGTAAGTCTTCGGCTTCCTTATTTGCAACAACTTGTATCGTGCGATTCACAATCAGCCGTCCTGAATGCGTCTAAATATGTATGACAGACCCAGTTAAGCGAAGCTCTTCTTTATCCGGCACCTATGTTATCCGACTGACGTGTCTCCTCATGCAGTCCGCCTTTTTAAGTAGCTAATTTTACGCACGAGGATAGCAAAAGGGGTGACTTGTCTACATGTCTATCTAACTCACACTACATGTGTGCCACTACTCTTCCACACAATAGCTGAATGAGCCTGAAACCAGCTATGCTTGCGACGCTCTGTGGAGCCTGGACAGCCTCTAGAAATAGTGGTAAACCTGATAAATGGGATTTCCACTAAATGGATTCACTTGAAATGATGAGGGTTGCTGTTTCGCATGAACTGTTCCAGAACAACACTCGTCTTTGTAAATATTTACTGTACAAGGTTTCAACACGTAACAAAGGGCTACGCCTTTATCCTGCGAATAACCTGAAAGGTCAAGCGTCTCCTTTGCCAATTGCTCACATAAAAGACGGTGTACTTGGTACTGCACATGCCTAGAGATCCTGTACAAGATATCGTGGAGTTTTGCAGCTTAATGCACTTCTATTTCAAAATGAATTACTCAAAAAAGTAAATGATTTAGTGCCTTGCTAAACCTCCCCAAATAGACAAAAGCTATGATTCGCCAGTGGATTACTTTCATCTATACCTCTGCTTGGTTAATGAATACTTTTGCCGTATTTTGCGTCTGATGTCTTATCAACAAATGCTGGTCCTAGGCAGACCCTCAGGTCTGCATTTTTCACCAGCCGGACAACTCCCGTTCGGTTTTTAATGCGCATCATCAGTTTGCGACTGGAGTCGATAAGATCGTAGATGCAGTTTTTTTCCGAGAATTTTCGCCGTGGAACTCGTCGGATATTGTTTTTGCATCCTATAGGTCTCATCAGTTATCATTAACAGACTAAAGGTGGACGCCGAAGGCAAAGTGGCTGTCATGTGGCCTAAGCAGTGTCATTGTCAGCCACGTTTGAACAACATCTATGTCGTGCACATCATTCGCAAACGACCACGACCAAATGTGGCCTTTATGAGATACCTTAACGATCCTAATTGGAGAGACCTTTTTTATATAGCGACGCAGATGTCCTCGTCATAAATTTCAAAAGCCTGTCGACCAAACGTTTGTCCGTAGACCGCTAATCAATCCGTTAAGCATTGTGGGGCGATAGCTTGGGGTGTGCCAATTTACTGCGGAAGCGAAAGACGGCAATGGTTAGACGCGAGTGATTGGGACACGGGTCGCTCCTTCGTTAACACGCCGGGGAGGAGTTGTTTTAGGCCCAGACGTGTGAGTCATGCGTGTAGAGCGAAAAGAACCAACCGCAACTGACACGTTGTGGCGCTCTAGTCTGCAGCGTACAGGCGCTTCTATCCTGGCGCTTAGGTTCTTTTTAATTGGAAATTGTTTGAAAGAAAAGTGGTTCCTCACGTGCTTTTTTGCTGTTTGTATTTGCTTCACTTTAAAAATTGCCTTAGTGGCATTAACTCTATTCTAAGCAAATACTGTATGTGTGCCCCTGAAGTAATTAACACAAATGACCAACTACGTTTATTCCCAAACTTCAAAAATCCTACAACCAACTACAAAAAATGTTTAATAGCGTTTTTGTGGAGAGAAGAAATTGAGTAAAACATCAATTCGTTTCGTTGGCGCTTTGTTAGGCTATTTTCAGAGCAAAGTACTTCACTTTAAGTACTATGGCATCTCCCCTTTCCTGCCTCTTCAGTGACCTGAGCAGTTCAAAGAAGGAGGTTTAGCTGGTCTCACCAGAGCTGTCGGGAACAGTGAAACGTTTTATCTGTAAAAGAGAAAAATTATTGCAATGAGATCGGGGTTAACAGGAGGTGTTTGACTCCAGACATCCGGTAAGAAGCAACAGCCTTCTGAATGCAGTACGAGGTTATTTTTACACTCGCGTGTTATCGTGTGTGAACTGTCTTGTTTCGAAAAGTAATTTTGCGTTGTCGAAAAATCCGCACTGTTGGCGCGACCCCCTCCCCACCCACCTTAGCCCAAACGTCGGCGGCTCGCTATTCTTAATGGCCGTCCGAACAATTCAACTTTCTTCAACTCCCTGAACTACTTCAAGACTATATGCAAACTCTTTTTGCGAATGCTAACCTTTCTAATATTTGGCTTTTTAGTAAGCAGGACCATTTTTTGGGCAAATTTATCCTGTCACTCCTCGTCCACGTGCGTTTTCCGTTGACTCCCCCATTAAACTGCGGTACTTCTTCACATTTGACTTTTCCATCTTTCCTGTCGTAAATTACTTATTATGGGACCGTTCTCTGCGATTTTTTCAATGTTTTTTTCCAACTTGCTTCTTTCAACACACTCTTTGTCGCTCAATGCCTGAAATTGAGCGTTCGGAAACCACGATAAAATATAGCTACGTTGTTTACGTTTATTGGTGTCCTGTAAATATTTTTGATGGCATCAGAATTTTCTTTTGCCAAGCTACGTATGAGTCGCCACGTCTCTACACACTTTTTGAACATGGGCTGGTCCATTGAGGCTGTGATTCGTGGATGTGATAACGAGGCATCTACATTGTTTTAAACTGATGGAGAGAACATTCAATGTGTATCATAATTATCGTGATTTTAACGCCTTTCTGTGCATTCATTTGGCTCACAAGGAAGCGCTCGATGCGTTTGGGCCCAGGCAGGGCATTTTATGAGAGTACGACTGAATCCAAAGTAATCACTTCATACCTGCGACGTACAGGTTGAAAGCAAAACGAAGCCTCACGTTAGAGAGTTTATGTGTTGAGTAGTTCACCAAAAGACTGTTTTCTATATATCTGATTCACAGTTTTCTCACATATGACTTCCTGTATATTCAAATCTACCATTCTTTATGTGCAACAGGGTGATTATTTAAATTTGTTAATGTTGGGCCATGCTGTAACGCGTATTCTGTATCTACATGACCGATGCTACATGTTAACCAAAATCTGTTAGGAAGTTTGTAGATGTGATCATTCCCAATGGGTTAATTAGAAGTCTTGTGAATTTCCCGAAAACGCTTCTGACTTGACGTATAAGATACTTCCAATTATTGTTTACGTTTCACCAAACCCACCACAACTTTCGTCCCACTCGCGTCCCAAGGTAATGCTTAGCAATGCGTCCTAATGCACAACCAACGCGGGTTTTGCTGAATCATTCGAATGACTCTAGAACAATGGGTCTCAGAAATTAAGAAGGGGCTTTTGAATGCCCCTTTGTGCCACTCCTCGAAGGCGCGCTTCAACCCATCGCGACAATCTCTAGTCTCCTATATGCAAACATGCTTGTCTAGCTTATTCATTCATCGTTTATTATAAACGAAGCAAGCTTACAATTGACCTTCTGATTTTGAAGCTATCTTGATCTTGCGAGATGTTTCCTTGTTAGAAAATTTGTTTGCTTTCCCGTGGCCATCAGACTGCATCGTCAGCAGTCTGATAGCCATTGTGGCCTTATTCTGTCCCAGACTCTCTGCTATGCATAGCACAGCCGTATCTCACTGTTGGAATACAATGCCAAGTACCGAAACATCTTGCACTGCTTAGATTTTTTTCCTATACCGAGGCAGACAAATTCGACCCAAGTATATGGTGCTGTTTCGGTTTGAATCGGTGTGTTTTATGTGTCTCAATGTATTGTTTGCCCATCTTGGTGAAGGTGAGCGCGTCTCCACACATCTGGCGCGGGACTCGGGGCCCGCTCTTCAGGCGGAATTTTACAGCTGTTGTGTATATAGTGCCCTGTAATTTTAACTGCGCAACTACCTTAATTGCAATAAATAGTAAAAGTGAATCATTGTTTTGCGCAAACACACAAAAAGACCCTGCCAGAGAGGCGACAAGTCACTCGCGCGAAGATGCTTCACTCATTGTGTTTCAATTGTCTCTTGCCGTAATCGTGACTTCATATGATAATGCTGAACTGTTTGCGCGCATGTCCGCACTTGGCAGATCTGTCTGCAGACTCTAAAGTGCACGAGTGTCCCCCGACATTTAAGACTTAATTCCTCTTCGTGTTCTAAAATACTGTTGGTTGGCATGTGCTACATGACCTTCATATCACAGGTGGCGATCACCACGTTTCTAACAGATGGGCTTCATCAAGCAACGTGAAGATGATCGCAGCACTTTCTGTTGAATCCGGCCGTTCACACGACTTGTTTTGTCTTACGCTCAGTCAGTGTCAAAGTCTTGGTTGTGGTAAAATCTTCTCCCCGTTTTCCCCTTAAGTTTTCACATTTGATTTAGCAAGCTGCGGTAACATGGTGTGAAGTGCCTTATAAGATGACTAAAAAATTCGTCCCTGATCCCGTAATCTGTACATAGGTACTTGGCGTGATCAAGTGTCGAACGCCAAATGAGTAAACAACAGGGCCATTGTGTCAATGGATAAAGAGAGTACAAAAAGGAATGTAGGAAGGTGAACTTTTGTGAGTCCTCAGAGTCATAACCGATAAGTCGTCATTCCTCCAAGACTGATCTCGAAGTACCACCAGCGTACATTACCCAATGGTTTTTTCCTCAAACGTATGATTTAAAAAAAACAATTTCTTTTTTGGTAGACCTGACCTACTAAAGGCCGCTGGAGTAAAACATTGCGTAAAACTGTGTTGGGCAACCCATTTCATTTTCACGTTTAGTTCTACGCGGAGTGAAAAGTTGGCAGATTCGGCTGTGGAAATTGATCGGCCACCTGATTGAATTCTCTAACAATCCATCAATACTTTGGCCTTCTCCCGACCTGGTCGACTTTCTTGCAACCAATGAGCAATTTGTACATGACCATTCTCGCATTATTAACCAGGTATTGCCTTTCATTCATGGATTTTTAAGACTATGCAAACTTGACCTCTAAGTAGCATCTCAGAACCTTTGTAAATAGGTCTGCATTTTGGCCCTCTCGTTTTTAAAGCACCGACAACCACAACTGTCGCCCAACCAAACTTGAATCCCTGGTGTACTGTGTGTCATCCAGTAGCAAGGACCCC